ATAAGGGGGTAGAGTGATATGGGGGTAGGGGGACAGGGTATGGTTATAAGGGGGTAGAGTGATATGGCGGTAGGGGACAGGCTTTGGTTATAAGGGGGTAGAGTGATATGGGGGTAGGGGACAGGCTATGGTTATAAGGGGGTAGAGTGATATGGGGGTAGGGGGACAGGGTATGGTTATAAGGGGGTAGAGTGATATGGCGGTAGGGGACAGGCTATGGTTATAAGGGGGTAGAGTGATATGGGGGTAGGGGACAGGGTATGGTTATAAGGGGGTAGAGTGATATGGCTGTAGGGGACAGGCTATGGTTATAAGGGGGTAGATTGAGGATATGGGGGTAGGGGACAGGGTATGGTTATAAGGGGGTAGAGTGATATGGCGGTAGGGGACAGGGTATGGTTATAAGGGGGTAGAGTGATATGGCGGTAGGGGACAGGCTTTGGTTATAAGGGGGTAGAGTGATATGGGGGTAGGGGACAGGCTATGGTTATAAGGGGGTAGAGTGATATGGGGGTAGGGGGACAGGGTATGGTTATAAGGGGGTAGAGTGATATGGCGGTAGGGGACAGGCTATGGTTATAAGGGGGTAGAGTGATATGGCTGTAGGGGACAGGCTATGGTTATAAGGGGGTAGATTGAGGATATGGGGGTAGGGGACAGGGTATGGTTATAAGGGGGTAGAGTGATATGGCGGTAGGGGACAGGGTATGGTTATAAGGGGGTAGAGTGATATGGCGGTTGGGGGACAGGCTATGGTTATAAGGGGGTAGAGTGATATGGCAGTAGGGGACAGGGTCTGGTTATAAGGGGGTAGAGTGAGGATATGGGGGTAGGGGGACAGGGTATGGTTATAAGGGGGTAGAGTGATATGGCAGTAGGGGACAGGCTATGGTTATAAGGGGGTAGAGTGATATAGGGGTAGGGGGACAGGCTATGGTTATAAAGGGGTAGAGTGATATCGGGGTAGGGGACAGGGTATTGTTATAAGGGGGTAGAGTGATATGGCAGTAGGGGACAGGGTATGGTTATAAGGGGGTAGAGTGAGGATATGGGGGTAGGGGGACAGGCTATGGTTATAAGGGGGTAGAGTGAGGATATGGGGGTAGGGGGACAGGCTATGGTTATAAGGGGGTAGAGTGATATGGCGGTAGGGGACAGGCTATGGTTATAAGGGGGTAGAGTGATATAGGGGTAGGGGGACAGGCTATGGTTATAAAGGGGTAGAGTGATATGGCTGTAGGGGACAGGCTATGGTTATAAGGGGGTAGAGTGAGGATATGGGGTAGGGGGACAGGCTATGGTTATAAGGGGGTAGAGTGAGGATATGGGGGTAGGGGGACAGGGTATGGTTATAAGGGGGTAGAGTAATATGGCAGTAGGGGACAGGCTATGGTTATAAGGGGGTAGAGTGATATGGCAGTAGGGGACAGGCTATGGTTATAAGGGGGTAGAGTGATATGGGGGTAGGGGACAGGGTATGGTTATGAAGGGGTAGAGTGATATGGGGGTAGGGGGACAGGCTATGGTTATAAAGGGGGTAGAGTGATATGGCGGTAGGGGGACAGGGTATGGTTATAAGGGGGTAGAGTGATATCGGGGTAGGGTTACACGGGGATAGGGTGACATGAGTGCAGGGTTATAGGATAGGGTTATATGGGACCCCTAGGGTGATGGGTAAGGGTTACATGGGGGTAGCATGATATAAGATAATGTTACACAAGGATTATGTTGACATGGGAATAGTGTGATATGTGGGTAGTGTACATGGGAAAAGAGTGTTATGTAGGTAGTGGTACATGGGAGTAGGATGATATGTGGGTAGTGGTACATGGGAGTAGGGTGATATGTGGGTAGTGTACATGGGAAAAGAGTGATATGCGGGTAGTGGTACATTGGAACAGGGTGATATGTGGGTAGTGGTACATGGGCATAGTGTGATATGTGGGTAGTGGTACATGGGAGTAGGGTGATATGTGGGTAGTGTTACATGAGAGTAGTGTGATATGTGAGTAATGGTACATGGGAAAGGGTGATATGTGGGTAGTGGTACATGGGAGTAGTGTGATATGTGGGTAGTGGTACATGGGAGTAGTGTGATATGTGGGTAGTGGTACATGGGAAAGGGTGATATTTGGGTAGTGGTACATGGGAGTAGAATGATATGTGGGTAGTGTTACCTGAGAGTAGTGTGATATGGGGGTAGTGGTACATGGGAGTAGGGTGATATGTGGGTAGTGGTACATGGGAGTAGTGTGATATGTGGGGAGTGGTACATGGGAGTAGAATGATATATGGGTAGTGGTACATAGGAGTAGTGTGATATGTGGGTAGTGTACATGGGAAAAGAGTGATATGTGGGTAGTGGTACATGGGAGTAGGGTGATATGTGGGTAGTGGTACATGGGAGTAGTGTGATATGTGGGTAGTGGTACATGGGAGTAGAATGATATGTGGGTAGTGGTACATGGGAGTAGAATGATATGTGGGTAGTGTACATGGGAGTAGGGTGATATTTGGGTAGTGCTACCTAGGAGTAGAATGATATGTGGGTAGTGGTACATGGGAGTAGTGTGATATGTGGGCAGTGGTACATTGGAGTAGGGTGATATTTGGGTAGTTGTACATGGGATTAGTGTGATATGTGGGTAGTGGTACATGGGGATAGGTTGATATGGGAGAGTGATATGTGGGTAGTGAACATGGGAAAAGTGTGATATGTGGGTAGTGGTACATGGGAGTAGTGTGACATGTTAGTAGTGGTACATGGGAGTAGAATGATATGTTGGTACTGGTACATGGGAGTAGAATGATATGTGGGTAGTGGTACATTGGAGTAGGGTGATATTTGGGTAGTGGTACATGGGATTAGTGTGATATGTGGGTAGTGGTACATGGGAGTAGTGTGATATGTGGGTAGTGGTACATAGGAGTAGTGTGATATGTGGGTAGTGTACATGGGAAAAGAGTGATATGTGGGTAGTGGTACATGGGAGTAGGGTGATATGTGGGTAGTGGTACATGGGAGTAGTGTGATATGTGGGTAGTGGTACATGGGAGTAGAATGATATGTGGGTAGTGGTACATGGGAGTAGAATGATATGTGGGTAGTGTACATGGGAGTAGGGTGATATTTGGGTAGTGCTACCTAGGAGTAGAATGATATGTGGGTAGTGGTACATGGGAGTAGTGTGATATGTGGGCAGTGGTACATTGGAGTAGGGTGATATTTGGGTAGTTGTACATGGGATTAGTGTGATATGTGGGTAGTGGTACATGGGGATAGGTTGATATGGGAGAGTGATATGTGGGTAGTGAACATGGGAAAAGTGTGACATGTGGGTAGTGGTACATGGGAAAAGTGTGATATGTGGGTAGTTGTACATGGGAGTAGTGTGACATGTGAGTAGTGGTACATGGGAGTAGAATGATATGTTGGTACTGGTACATGGGAGTAGAATGATATGTGGGTAGTGGTACATTGGAGTAGGGTGATATTTGGGTAGTGGTACATGGGATTAGTGTGATATGTGGGTAGTGGTACATGGGAAAGGGTGATATTTGGGTAGTGGTACATCGGAGTAGAATGATATGTGGGTAGTGTTACCTGAGAGTAGTGTGATATGGGGGTAGTGGTACATGGGAGTAGGGTGATATGTGGGTAGTGGTACATGGGAGTAGTGTGATATGTGGGGAGTGGTACATGGGAGTAGAATGATATATGGGTAGTGGTACATAGGAGTAGTGTGATATGTGGGTAGTGTACATGGGAAAAGAGTGATATGTGGGTAGTGGTACATTGGAGTAGGGTGATATTTGGGTAGTGGTACATGGGATTAGTGTGATATGTGGGTAGTGGTACATGGGGATAGGTTGATATGGGAGAGTGATATGTGGGTAGTGAACATGGGAAAAGTGTGACATGTGGGTAGTGGTACATGGGAAAAGTGTGATATGTGGGTAGTGGTACATGGGAGTAGTGTGACATGTGAGTAGTGGTACATGGGAGTAGAATGATATGTTGGTACTGGTACATGGGAGTAGAATGATATGTGGGTAGTGGTACATTGGAGTAGGGTGATATTTGGGTAGTGGTACATGGGATTAGTGTGATATGTGGGTAGTGGTACATGGGGATAGGTTGATATGGGAGAGTGATATGTGGGTAGTGAACATGGGAAAAGTGTGATATGTGGGTAGTGGTACATGGGAGTAGTGTGACATGTGAGTAGTGGTACATGGGAGTAGAATGATATGTTGGTACTGGTACATGGGAGTAGGGTAATATGTCGATAGTGGTACATGGGAGTAGTGTGACATGGGAGTAGTGATACATTGGGATAGGTTGATATGGGAAAGGGTGATATGCGGGTAGTTGTACATGGGAGTAGTGTGATATGTGGGTAGTGGTACATGGGAGTAGTGTGATATGTGGGTAGTGGTACATGAGAGTAGTGTGATATGTGGGTAGTGGTACATGGGGTGGAGTGATAGGGGGGTAAGGGTGATATAGGATATGATTATATGGAGGTAGGGTGATTTTCAGATGGTTTATGACACATTTCAGCTAACGTACAAATGTCCATGAATATGTTTGTCTGTGCTTTGTGTGTCAGTGCCAATTCTAAGAAAAGCCAGTGTTTCTAAAGGCTTGTTACTTTGTAATAACTCCCATGGTTGTCGTGTCATCTTTACCTATCACAATGCCCATATACATATTAGGTTAGACTAAGGTACCATCAATCACTAGATTGTTTGGTCCAGAATCGAATGTTGACTGACCGCCGTCACATAGCTAAAATATTGCTCAATGCGACTTTAAGCAAGAAAGAAAACACACAAAAACAATAACAACAACAACAACAACAGATCTTAGCCCTCCGATGCTCTAATCATTAAATGGTTGTGTTTATGGTTATTCTAAGTCACTTCTTAAGATAGGATCCCATTGCATGGAGGTTGAATCTCACGGAGTGTGAGAATTGAAACTGACAACAAGTGTAGGCTATTTTGCATTTATTTGCATCTATGCAAGTGCCACATCACACCACAGCTGGCTTTTCCAGATCGGAAGAGTTTACATCACCGGGCACCGTTCATCTGAAACACGAGGTATGAGCTTGAGGTGGCAGGATAGGTCGATGTAGACATATGGGATCAGGTTTAACCACACAAAGGTACTATTTCACAAGTCATCGAGAAAACACATTATGACAAGAGAGCAAGTGTTCAATTTGACGGACTGTAGATTGCGTCACTCAACAGCAAGCCGAAGATTATGTGAGGAAAGTGTGTCGTGCACATGCCGTCAGGCTTGTGGTCACAAATCAATACGGTTGTATCAGGTGGACTTTTTTTTGACATGGGTTTCATAAGTTTCAATGTGCAATGCACTGTTGCTGACAATGTCACACTGTTTAGACGTCTCCGTTATGAAAGATCGAAGTGAAAGACGCGTTGCTATGTAAGCATCCTACCTGTTTCACAACAGACGCCGGTTACAAACCAGGGACAGGCACATGCATTATTAATGCACGTTCCGTTGTTGACACACTCAAGACACGTTCCACACAGGGGTGCTGTAACACAAGAGTAGGGGGAATTAGGGATATCAACCCAAAAGCGCCAAATATATGAAAAGTGTTACTGCCGTGCATTATGAATGTATTTGCAGGTGCACTATTACGTCTAAAATAATTACAGCTGCAACATTACGAATTTTACAGATGCACTTTCCATTCTGTATGTTATAGGTATATTATCGTAATGTTTATCACAGCTGCAACATAACGTATATGACAGATGCACTTTCCAATCTGTATGTTATAGGTTCGTTATCGTACTGTATATCACAGCTGCAACATAACGTATATGACAGATGCACTTCCCAATCTGTATATTATAGGTTCATTATTGTACTGTATATCACAGCTGCAACATTACGTATATGACAGATGCACTTCCCAATCTGTATATTATAGGTTCATTATTGTACTGTATATCACAGCTGAAACATAACGTATATGACAGATGCACTTTCCAATCTGTATGTTATAGGTTCGTTATCGTACTGTATATCACAGCTGCAACATTACGTATATGACAAATGCACTTTCCAATCTGTATGTTATAGGTTCGTTATCGTACTGTATATCACAGCTGCAACATTACGTATATATAATATGTTACATATGTACTTTCCAGTCTTGACTTTATGCTTAATTTGACACGAGTGGGTAGAACTCTTGACCCCAGCAGTGATAACTCACCGGTGCCTATTGTGTAATTCCTTTTCTTTGAATGACATTGTTATATACTTGTTACAGCTGCTGCTCAATAAACCGTGTTTGTGTATATATTCAAGTTGTTATTTCCCCATCCAGGGTAAGCAGTGAGGCCGTCTTATTGTTGCTATTTGTTTTGGAGACATAAATGCGAAGTTTCGTTAATGCGAAAAACGACTCGCATGTTTCGCATTTAATTCACGCTCGCGTTAAGTTCAAGATTTACAGTATAACAGATGTACTGTCCAGTCGTTAGGTTGTAGGTTCAATATCACACTGTATATCACTGTCACACAGAGCCCGAGCTCCGCACGTACGGTTTAATAGGGTATACCCTTGTGTTTGTAATGGCTGTATAGTACCACATACATATACGAGGGAGGATTTATAAGTTTGGAACATCACAAAGAAGGAATTGCATGATAGGGAATCTTTTATGTGGACAACACATGATGTCATAGACGTATATCCAAAACAAAATTGTATTAATTGAGAAAATGGTTTCTCTGCGACAAGTCAGTCACCTCTGGAAAGAGGACAAACTTCGTTCCTACTATGTGTGTCTCAGAACTTATCAATCAACTCTCGTACAGACATTTGTACATTTTCAACACCATCTATTGGTCTTCTTAAAGAGATACTGTTTTCCTTAAAACAAGTTTTATTCCATCTTTTACAGTGTTCGTGTTATTTTATGGCATATTATCAATATTTAAACATTTGGAATAGATCTTAGAGCTGGGGTATGAGATAATAGGATCGTCACTAGAAGTGAAATTTTACAGAAAGTTCCAAACGTGCGTATTAGCACATGCCACCCGTGGGGGCAAATTCTTTATCAAACTGGGTTGGTAGCCAGCTCCTCAAGTTTTAGTTGGTGTGGGTGTTGACCTGAAAATGTTGACACCTATTACTACTCAGTTGTGTTAAACTAGTGGCGCATTACCTATCTATATTCAGCATAATTTAAGGTGGTTCTCCTGCAGGGAATGAAAGTTAAGAACTTAGTCTTTTTTTAACACACTATAAGTAAAATTATAATTATTTATATACGGAAATAATAAACTAACCTTGTTAATATTGTCAATATCTTTCAGGTATGTTCTTGATCACTCCAAGTAAGATAGAACAGGTTTTGAAACCTTTTTCGAAATAAAGCCAAGGAGGGTTTCAATATGCGTTAGTGGCCCGGATGGTGAATGTATCGCAATACTTACTGTCACAGCAATCGCCACGAAAGCCATTCGCACACTGACACTCGCCAGCAACACACACCCCACCATTCTGGCACTCACTGCAGCTACCACAGCCAGTGGGACCTGCAACAGATAGAGCACAACCATCGGGTTACGAGAATATGTTTTGTGTTCACCCAACAACTACACACGACAACAAACAATAAAACATACAAACAAACCAAGAATATAAACAGAATAGCAATAACATGAAATTATTTTTTTTATCAAAGTGCAGCATATGTGAATCACTCAATGAAATCGTTGGAAGTAACCAAAACACACAGTGCTCGTGTTAGTCAAAAATCCATACTTACAAAGAAGTTCCTTGAATTGGGTGACGAACTGAAGGAAGGAGGCTGAAGGGTCGCAGAGCATATACTGGCTATCAGGGTCTGAGGCAATGTAGCGAAGTATTTGGTAGTTGGCTTTGGGGCCAAAGCACAGAACATATATTTCAGTCTCGCCGTTTCCCTTCAACGAGTCAACATCATTTATGATCAAACTACTTCTTGATCGCGTAAGTGCATTTGTGACAAATATAATTATATTCCGAGCATCAGGGCGGTCTCCGGATGAGGCTCGAAGCATGTTTCTGTTAACTTTTCTGATGGCCTTGTGGAGGTAGTCGGGCCCGAACTGTGGTCTGATCCATCGTATTGCATTGGACACACTCTGCCACGACGAATATCTATTGAGATGGAAGTTAACGCTGATTCGTCTGGCAAATGTCATTGCCCCAACCCGGACTTTGTCGTCTCCGATTTCGATGTTGTTCACAATTTGCATTGCCATTGCTTTCAATTCCTTGAATTCATTGCGATGAAAGCAGGATGTGTCAAAAACGAATAGCAGGTCGATTTTGCCACAATCTGTTGAAAATGTAAATGTGCATGTTAATATTAAGCCAACAGAGCTCCGTGTCTGTCACAAGAGAGGAATACGCTTTAACTTCGGGGGTCTGAAAGTGCGCTGGGTAGCTGGGGACGATCGACTCTCATTCGTCATCTACACAATAGTGTGCTATCGTACCCTGATTGTCAGGTTAAACAGCATTCTCTTGAATATTTCTAACACGCCTGTATACATTTCTTTTCTCAGTATAGACCTGAATTACCTGAATATATGGTGATTAACCTATATGATCTGTCCCAAACATAAGAATTACCAGTCTTGGTTATCTAGATTATTCCGTTTAGCGTAAAGGACAAAATATCTATGAAAATGAATGGACCACTGAAAATCAGTGATGACACCAGGTGTTCGCGAAAAGGGTCAAGCATGTCCTGCCCTATAACGGTAGCTTCAACATGCATCACGTTGGTGTATGGGAGCTGCACTACCTCATCTATAAGAATTTGCATCACGGTAATGTATGGGAACTACACTATCTGGTATATGCATTACGTTAGTGTATGGGAGCAGCACTTCCCGTTTTGTCTAAAATATGCATCACGTTGGTGTGTGGGGGCGGTCGGGTAGTGGTTAAAGCGTTCGCTCGTTACGGCGAAGACCCGGGTTCGATTCCCGACATGGGTACAATGTTTGAAGCCCATTTCTGGTGTCCCCCACCGTGATATTGCTTGAATATTACTAAAAGCGGCGTGAAACTCACTCACTCATTGGTGTGTGGACGCTACACAACCTGACGTATCCAAAACATGTATAACATTGGTGTATGGAAGCTGCACTGGCTGGTATATCAAATTCTAGCAAAAACCCATTCTATAATCATAAGAAATCTAATTCTAAACGTACATTGTACTGTATCACATAAAAGGTAGGCGTATCCTGTCCCGCCAGTAACGCCCCGAACCCACAACCCCGTCGCAAACACATACAAAACCATATATCAGATAATCCATGTACCTAAATCTTATCGTATAATTCTTTGCCAAATTCCCTTGTTTTGACTGCCAATCCGAGCAGAAATTCTGACTCATATGCATGATGATACAGATCAGCTACAATTGATGCTAATGGGGATCTCTACTTCTTGCCTAAATGTCTTGTACCCAATTTTCACATAGATATTTTCTTATCATATGCTTTATTGACCCTAATTTTTTATAAATATTTGAGAAAAATATCAAACGTAATTCTGCTAAACATATTTAGTCGATTTGCTGTTTTCTATTATTGAAAATGGTTCACAGCGTTGCCATTGTCACATGTTCCTGCTGTTGTTTGAAATTTTGTGTGTGTTGTGTTGTGTGTGTTGTGTGTGTGTGTATTGTGTGTGTGTGTGTGTGTGTTTTGTGTGTGTGTGTGTGCAATATTCCAGCGATATGACAGTTGTTTGTAAATATTAGAGTCTGGACCAGACATTCCAGTGATTTACATCGTGCGCATCGATCTACGCAATTGGGATAAGATGACACGCATAAAATAAATCAGCCAGCCTTGCCTGTTATGGCAAGCATGGGTTGCTGAAGACCTATTCTAACCTGGATCTTCACGGGTTTGTTTGCAATTGATGTGATAATGTTTGCAGGTGATGGTTTATTAATAGGAGTAGTATAGAGGAAGTATGTTTTCTTCTGGTACTATCTTTTCGCTGGCTTGTAAACCATCAGTCTTTAACAGGATTAACAGGATTTATGTTAAAATTCAAAGATATACGACCATAAACGGCCATTGCCTCTATTTGACAGCAATATATAGCCCATCTTACCTTATAGTGCATATTTATGGGGTCACATCAAAAAAACATATTTTGCAATTTTTTTCTTGGAGTTTGATAAAGAAGGCCAAAGAGAATAGTTGTAGCAGAATGAGGTTGACAGCATATATATCGACTGCTACATTGGAGTATTGGGTGAGTGAGTGAGTATGGTTTTACGCCGCTTTTAGCAGCATTCCAGCAATATCACGGCGGGGGACACCAGAAATGGGCTTCACACATTGTGGAGTATTAAGATACTGGATATTCTTAAAATATGTATTATAGTAGATAGACAAGTTATATTATAATGCTAAAGCAATATGGCACACTGTATTATACAAATAGGTAATCCCGTGTTAGAATGTTGTATTTTGTGTAAGTGTATTTTTTGTTTGTTGCACTCGGCAATATACCAGCTGTGTGACGGCAGTAAATAATCGAGTCTGGACCAGACAATCCATGACACTGACATCATGAGCATCGATCCATGCAATTGGGATAAGATGACATGCTTCAACCAAGTCAGCGAGCCCGATCCCGATCGACAAGCATGTTGTTACGAAAGGCATGGGTTGCTGAAGACCCATTATAACCCGGATCTTTCACGGGGCCGTCCGATGGTAGATGGCACATATATGTACATACACCAGAAACACCCATGTCAAAACGTGCGGTGCCATCCTTGGCAAGTGACTTAGTTCAAATGTGCCTCAGTAGTATAGGTAATAGGGGTTCTGCCGCAACTCCACTGGAGCCAGATTTATATACCTATACCACCACTACAGAGGGAATTTTTTATGTAAAAATGATGATGTGATTCAACGATAGTCATGATTCGTATTAAAAAAACCATCAATATTAATTAATAATGAATAAAATTTCCTATAGCCCACGAGGATATTGGAAAGGTGTAGGAGCAATAAAAAAATTAGCCACCGCGGCTAAGGTATCTAAAGATGTGGCCAAGGATTGGTTAAAGAAACAAGCGATGGGGCAAATATATTTACCCGCACCGCGTTATATACCGAGGAAGAAGTTTGATATTTTTAAAACGAATGAAGTTCATCAGGCTGACCTCTTGTTTCTTCCCCACGATAAGGTAAGACGCAAAACGTATAAATACGCTTTAACCGTAGTGGATGTGGCTAGTCGATACAAAGAGGGTGAGCCATTAACCTCGAAAGATTCGACAGAAGTAGCTGAGATTTAACAGGACATTAGCAGAACGTTTGTTTGGCTATCAGTATGGGATCGAAATGAAATCCGAGAGATTGAGATCAACCGAATGGGTGACACGATTATCAGCTGTTGTATCAGCGCTGAATAATGAAGTAACGAGATTAATTGGGAAGAAACCATCCGATGCTATTCAAATGAAATCCGTGACTTCCGAGTCTTCAGCACCGAGGAGAGGCAAAGAACAAAAACTTCCGGATAGAGTAAGCGTAAGATATTTATACCAGCCCGGTGAACTCGAAGGAGGCCTACGTCACGCAACCGATCCGATTTGGTCTCTTAAGACATATAACATTAGTCGATTGGTTATGAAAGAAGGAGAGCCTATTCTTTATTATCTTAAAGATGGACCAGGCAGGGCATTTGTACGAGAAGAGTTGCTCATAGTTCCCAACGATACAGTATTACCGCCCTAAATAACCATAAGCATAGGTAGTTACACCATTATTATCAATCCAATTCTTTGTATCTAAGGGGGATAATGATGTCTTGTTCATTCTTAATCCATATATCCTATGATTGTAACTTCTTAAAGAGTTCATCTCGTGTTTGAACGTTCTACCGTTGAATAATGCTTCTTTATACTGTTCGTGTTTGATATGCTTTTTTACCACATACTTCTTAACACCCTTAGCTTTTCTTATCTCTCCATTATCGGACTTCTTTATAGAATACATCTTAGGTCTTAATCCTACATACTCCGCTATAGGGGTCCCAGCACATTCATCCTTCATCCTACCTATCTTACCCAACACCTTTTTATTTACTACGCTGTGCAGTGGATTATCTTTTGGGTAATCGCTCGTGTCGTACATATCTATTTTGTCTGCCATATCTTTATATACATCCTCGGTTTGTATTTCAATCAACAAAGAATCTGTGTCGGTATATAACACCTCACATCTATCGCCGTATTGCTTTTTAAGTTCGTTGTAATAAAAGTCATACATTAAGTGTTTTGACAAGTCCAGAATACTCATACCAACTTACACCGGTCTGTTGAATTTTATATAACTCTTCTGCATATGCAGCGCGGCTAAGTCGTTATCGAATATCTTGCTTCTGTTAAAAGCCGGACTGGCTATAAGTTTCCTGAGTCTTTCTTCATCATTAGATCTGACTAATTTAACATCAACACGCTTCCTTAGATTCTCTATAGTTTTACCAAATACTGAGTTATTCATGAGTTTATATAGATTCTTTTCAAAATTGCTGGTGGCTATCTTTCTTAAATCTGTGTTCAGCCTTATATAGGGCTCCATCCAAAGGCTTTGATCAAACTTTAGAACTCTGTGTATTTTCTTTAGTTTCATACCTAACGATAGATATAACTGGAGATTTCTGTAGTGAACTATATATTTTATCTTATCCATCAAATTTGGTACGAGTTTTTCTACGTTAGCTAACGTAGTATTACCCATCAAGGAGTGTTGATATTCCGACATCCAATCTTTATTAACCATTAACCTTTCGGGAGCAAGCGGATAACTGTTATGATCTTTATGTAACGAATTTTGATATTCCAAGTCAACTTCTAGTATGTACCCTTTATCGGAATCTGAGGGGATATCATCCACTTTGATATCATCGACCCACTCAAAACCACCCGTGGGTAAAGGTTGACTGATAGCCCATCCGTACAAATTGTTGGCGTCGAGATATCATATATGCGTGTCGGGTTTACTCGGATAGTACCATGCCGGGTCCAAGCCGTATTGTTTTAAACATGTCTTTCTAAATATCTCGAATATATCGGCAAGTAACAGTACATCGGTTTTTGAGTACAGATCGTGATAATCGCCTAAATTCTTACAACCTAATTTATCCCACACTGTCAGAGCGTGTTCATAATCGGCATCTGTTATTTTAGATTCTGTTAAGTTACTATAATATGATTCAAGGGGTGGTAATTTAGTTTCGTCGAATCTAGACCAATCATCCATATATTCGTAAGGATATACACCTTTTCTC